TCTTTTTTTTTTTTTTTTTTTTTGTAGTGAGTTTTAAATCGCAGAGACTTTGGCTATTGTCTTATTTCGTAGCAGTTTATAATTCACGAAGCTTGTGGCATTTGATAGCCGTATTTGAAGAGGGGCTGGCTTTCTTTTTGTGTAGTTTTGCATGATCTTGAACTGTCCCCCTGCTGTACCTATCCATTAAAAAACTGTCTTTTCGTTGAAGAGGACAGGGGTTAAAATGAACGGAGACCCGGAGGTCAGTTTCAGCGGCTTGCTTGGGGATCACTTAGATGCCGGTGCTGCGGCGGAGAACGTCTCGGCTGCCGTCTCCTCCCAGGTTCCTGTCCTAGAGCCAGAGCCAGAGCCAGAGCTCGGGGTCAACCCCTGGGACATTGTCCTGTGTACCTCAGGAACTCTCATCTCCTGTGAAAATGCCATCGTGGTCCTTATCATCTTCCAGAACCCCAGCCTGCGAGCTCCCATGTTCCTGCTGATAGGCAGCCTGGCTCTTGCAGACCTGCTGGCTGGCATCGGGCTCATCGTCAATTTTGCTTTTGCCTACGTGCTTCAGTCAGAGGCCACCAAGCTGGTCACTATTGGACTCATTGTGGCCTCTTTCTCTGCCTCCGTCTGCAGCTTGCTGGCCATCACTGTTGACCGCTACCTCTCCCTGTACTACGCTCTGACATACCACTCCGAGAGGACAGTCACATTCACCTACGTCATGCTGGTCATGCTCTGGGGGACCTCCATCTGCCTGGGCCTGCTGCCCATCCTGGGCTGGAACTGCCTCAGAGACGAGTCCACCTGCAGCGTGGTCAGACCTCTCACCAAGAACAACACGGCCGTGCTCTCCATCTCCTTCCTCTTCATGTTTGCGCTCATGCTCCAGCTCTACATCCAGATCTGTAAGATAGTCATGCGGCACGCCCACCAGATAGCCCTGCAGCACCACTTCCTGGCCACCTCGCACTATGTCACCACCCGGAAGGGGGTCTCCACCCTGGCCATCATCCTGGGCACCTTTGCTGCTTGCTGGATGCCTTTCACCCTCTATTCCTTGATAGCCGATTACACCTATCCCTCCATCTACACCTACGCCACCCTCCTGCCCGCCACCTACAATTCCATCATCAACCCTGTCATATACGCTTTCCGAAACCAGGAGATCCAGAAAGCCCTCTGCCTCGTCTGCTGTGGCTGTGTCCCACCCAGCCTCTCCCAGAGAGCGCGGTCACCCAGCGACGTGTAGCAGCCACCCACTTACAGGGCACCCACGCCCGATGCTGCATCTACCGAGCACTCCCACTGCCTGGCCAAGGGTCGCGATGCTCTCCTTAAATTCTTCACACTGGAGTCTCTTTGGAGCCACAGAAACACTTAGCATTCCTGAAGCTCTCGTTCAGATGAGTTAAGTGAATGGAGTGAAAATAATGTTACCAGAGGTTTCACCCTTTTAAAAAAGTTGTTGAGTTCTTTGCTCAAAATTTTTTTTGTTCTGTTTGGGGGGAGGGGGGATTTATTTGTTTTATATTTTATTTGGAGGCAGGGTTTTTGCTTTATATTTTGTTTGGAAGGTTGGTGGTGGGTTGGAAAAGAAGGGCTATGACATGGCCATGATGTTATAACTAGTAAACTGGTCCCAGAGTTTTTACCTGGACTTTAAAATAAAACTGAGCTATTGAGGAAAATGAAGTTACTTTTGCCAGACTTTTTTTTAATGTCAAGGTAGATTTTTAATGCTGCATGTATCTAACAGAATACAGCCTCTTTTGAGCCGATGAAAATATTTTCCATGCTTATATTTGGAAGAGACCTGATTTTGTTAACACGAACTCAGTAATAAGTTACCAGCCCTGAAACTATGAGCCCGTTCTTACTCATTCGTTCTTTACTGCCAGCAATTACTGCTGACAAGAATTACTCTGGTATTTCTATGTATGTTGTAACTCTTTCTGCATGGTTGCCTGTGTTAGCTGGACCACTCATTTCAATTGTTGTAAATCCAGAATCAAGTAAGTCATTTTTCAACATAGGTTTTTAATAATGTCCTTTAAAGTGAATTACAAAATTTGTTTCGCTTTACATAGGAAGTTGGATTCACTAGATTCACCCTTGTAGTTCCTTAAGCTACAGTGTTTTCAGGAAAAAGAAGGAAAAAATAACATCTCTTGAAAGTAGATGAAATATATTTCAGTATATTCGGAAAAATAAATCAATGTAAAAACTATCACACAATATGAAAAACATCACTTTTCCTATCTTTATCTAAAAATGCATTAATAGTTATTTTTGATTGAGACAAACAGAATTAAACATTGCAAACCAAGCATTTCTGGTTCATATTGTTGGTGGTGTAAAATACATTTGAAACAAGTGGTCTCCTATTTTAATGATTAATTTGTTTGTGAGTGCATAAACCCTTATCTGACTGTGACATATGATTTAAGTTCACCAGTGGCTGTTCATAAAAAGTTAAGTTTGAATTTTTTTCCTTCTTTTTACCAAAAACAACAACACTTAAATGCAATAAAAACTGTATAGCCTGTTTTCAGAGAGCAAGGATTTCATGAGGAAATTACACAGAAGAATTGCTTTTAAACATATTATAACATCATCGTGTCTGAGCATCATTTCCATTAGCGCAGACAGATGTTTTGGACACAGACACCTTCCCTCCATGGCTGTGGATTTACAGCTGTGTCTATACAACCAGTGGAAGAATTTCTGTACAGCACACCGGCTTAGCCCTTTCAGATGGTGATAAGACCAGTGTTAAGGGTCCCTGGGGAATCATTTATAATAAATTAACCTCATTGGTTTGTCCCCAGTGTCCTGCCCATGGTGGCCTCAAGGCCTTTCCGGCTGCCTGCCTGCTCACACCATCTTTCTAAAGCCCCCTCTCATGCAGCACAAGTATGAATAAACCCTCTGCTTGAACCCGTGTCTCCTCCCTTAGGCTACTTGTGGAAGTAGGAGAAAGGTTAAAATATTTCAGAAATGGGAAAGAATTTTCAGTGCATATTACCTTATGATGAATCTAATCAAGCTGATGCCTTTACAGAAATTTCTTCAACCTGTGACTGAATTGGTAGGTTGAACATGATGAATCTGTTTTTCATCACTTAAAGCCAATAGCATCTCCATGCCAGAAAGAATTAAGGTAAGCTGGTTTGGCCACAGGCTGGGAAATATTCATAAGGAGGTTTGAAAGCAATAAATGGTGTTTTTGTAGAAATGGTAAGTCTTTCTTGCCCTGGCCGAGTAGCTCAGTTGATTAGAACATAGTCCCGATACACCAAGGTTTTGGGTTCGATCCCTGGTCAGGGTATATACAGGAATCAACCAACGAATGCATAAATAAGTGGAACAACAAATTGATGTTTCTCTCTCCTCTCAAATCAACTTTTTAAGAAAAAGAAGTGCTGGGTTTTTCATAGTTAGAATTATCATGATAATAGTATGTGCTGTTTTTCACATTTTGTGTCAGGTCCCGTGCTGGGTGCTTCACCTGCTCTATTACTGTGTTCACAAAAACACACTGTTACAGGCAAGACAACTAAGGCTGAGTGAGGCTGAGAAATGTGTCTGAGGCCACAGCTCAAAGGTGGAGCCAAGATATGAACCCAGGTTTTCCAGTGTCTGTACCTGCCTCCTTTCGTGCCCCACTGCCTTGCTCCCTCACTGTGAGTGTAGAGGAAATGATTTATAACACGTTTCTGTCACTATCTTTTAGTTCTACAATTGGCTCATACAGCTTCTTGTTTTAAATTACATGCGATGTGACTCAGTGTGGTCCAATGAGGAAAGGGCCTGCCTTAGCACCCTCTTCTTGGCCAGCGTCTCTCCCCTCGGGAGCCAAGGCCAACCCCGGAGGCGTAGTGCAATGTTTTAGTGTGAAGAGGTGAGGACACTCTTAATATACAGTGATTTTCCCTCCATTTAGCATTTTAAACTTTATATCATATAATACATCAGTATGTAATGGTTTTATAAGTACTAGCTAAATGGTTGCTTTTTACCACTATTTTTAAAACATCTGATTTCAGCTAATATTTTTCATTTCAACTATAACATGCTTTTAATGTTTACTTTAAATTGTGAAGGTTTTTGGAAGTTTATGTGGTTTCCTATAAAGCTGCTTTGTTTCTGTGGGGTTATTAAGAAATGTGCACATGTCTTTATATATATGTATATGTTTAGATATGTGTGTATACATCTATATACATATATAGCGTCAATAACATTAACTTTGCAACAAGACTAAATACATCATGTAAAACAGTCGTATGTCCAACAGTCCTGAGGTAGCAGGACTTTTACTTCACGTGATTAAAGATTTTAACGGTTTTATTTCCAGTGGAAACAGTTATCCTTGGACAATTAATTCAGTTACCCTACCTGAATCCTTAGTTGATGCTAATTATCCAGGTTGTGGCTATCCAAGGTTGGTTTCCTTTTATCCCTATAACTCTGTTTCTTTGTATCAGTCACAGTTGTTTCTTCGTGGTAAAGGGGCTGTCTTCTTGGTACCTGGAGGCAGAGCCCCTCCTTCCCTGGAAGCCTGAATCAAAGAGCCAAGTTCAGGAGGGAGAATTCCTCAATTGACCTGCAAGCATGAATAGTCTTAGAGTCCCCTGGAATTTAAAGCAGGATTTAAACAAGTTTAAATGAGATGAGAAATAAAGATGTTTAGTGCCAGTAAAATATCTTGGAGATTTCTTAAACTTTTTTTGTTAAAGAAATGCTTAATCATTATTACAATAATGATTGACTTATTTCATGGTAATATATATTATATCAAATTAGGATAACTTACCTTTTCAAACTTAAAATACATATTAAATAAATGACATCAAATTTAAATTACATATGGAATAAATGATGTTATATTAAACAATGCTTATGCTTCCACTTTGATTATATGCCTGGTAAAATAAGGAAACAGATTGCCTTCTTGTTCCCTTTAAAATTTTTAATGAATATTGGGTGGTTTTGATATCTAATTGGAACCTTCAAATCTGGTTAGAACTTTAGAATCAAAAGTAGTTTATGTACTTCAAAGAAGTAAAAGCATGGTTTGAATTAGCAGACAGATCTTCTGTCCTTTAACAAACAATTCAGTAAAAAATATTGGTGATTTTGACTAGGGATCCTCAAATTTTTAGTATTTAAAGGGTATACAGATCACCTAAGAATCTTATTAAAATAAAGATTCTGCTTCAATAAGTCTGAAGCATCGCTGCAGTTTGAACAAGCTCCCCGGGATGCTGACGGTGGTGGTCTTAGGCAGCACTTTGATGAGTTATCACAAGGATAACTTCAGCATTCTAAATCTATATCATCTATCTATCTATTCATCTATCTATCTGCCTATCTACCTACCTACAAACACTTAAAAACATATAAATATATGTTTAAAAGTGTTATTATTATCAGTGGTTAATAATAACTAGTCTGCATTCAATGGATATGAACCTTGAAGTTTTCCTAGAATTTCTAGTATCTAGTAAATATCTATAAATATATTTATTCTATGTTTACGTTCTTATTTTTTAAAATCCTAACTACCATTATATTAAGGCAATTCAGAAATTTTATATATATGTGTGTGTGTGTGTGTGTTTCTATCTGCCTGCATGAGTATACCTAGAAACAAAGGTTTCATCTCCATTTTTTCAAGAAGGAAGATTTTCTTTGTGACACATGTGGTTTGTATTTGGAGGGGAGGGGCTGCATGTGCTTACATGAATTTATCTTGAGATAATTGAGATGAAAAATTTTGTTCTCTGTGTCCTAAAATTCAATGGATTCATCCTAAATCAACCTTTTTCTAGCCAGGTACATCAGAGAAATTTAAAAATATCTCACCTTGGTTTTGACATTTATCTGTAATCTTTTGTGATTTTTCAGCATCAAAAATACTATTAATGTTCTGGACAGTGTGGCTCAGTTGGCTGGAGCATTGTCCTATACACCAAAAGGTCCTGGGTTCAATCCCGGGTCAGGGTCTGTACGGGAGACAGCTGATCAATGTTTCTCTCTCACATCAATGTTTCTCTCTCTCTCTCTCTTTTCCTCTTAAAAATCAATGAAAACCATATCCTCGGGTGAGGATTTAAAAAATACTATTAATATTAATAGTTACAATGGTCATTCCATCTACTGCTTCTTCTCTGCCCAAGGAGGTGAGAACATTTTTTTCTCCAGTAGAAGTTTGTCAAAGTATATAGGTGAAATGGATTTTAAAATGTAACTTAAATACCTCCATAGTATAAAATATACAGAAGAACTTAAAGAAATTTAGGGCATTTTTAATCATAAAAAATTAAATAGCATCAAGCACCAGTAAACAAACTTTCAACTGGAAATAAGTTTGGAGCAGAAATGAAAACATTTACCAGGGTCCATATTTCCCTGGTAGTTGACTATCTGAATATTTTTAAAGGTGAAAGAATATCTTATTGGCATTCTCTCAAAGGCTTGGGTTGCTTCTCACCAGG